AGTAAATTTTACATTTTCTCCTTTAATTTCTAATTTGGAAATATTAGTAGATGAACACACATTGACAAATCTCTTTGGAGTTTTCAATAATTACTGAAAGTGTAACAAGGTCCTGAGATCAAAATTTTATAATCTGTTGACACAGACTGTGCAGCTGAATCAGAGAATAGTGTCCCATGATGAAGATGGGGAATGATACTTTTTATGCTAAAGTAATGGATGTTATAAGGAAGATATAAAGAAAATAAAAAGCAGAAAATGCAAATTACTCATATGGAACTGATTACGTGCATTTCACCCCCCACACCCATTGCTAATTACTGTACATTTTTTTCATAAAGTTCCTCATGATCTCTTTACATTTTTGTAAAGAAAGTTAGGAGTCTGCATCCAGTCAGGAAAATGTGGGAATTTAATATAGCAAAAAGTGTCCACAGATAGTTGAAAAAGCAAAAAAGAGGATACTGAGGTAATGGCATGTTAGTAATGGTAGGAAAATCTTCCTCGATAGCTGAGGAACAAAAGGGAAGAGATGGGGTGAGCAAAGCAGAGCTTAGTGGGAGGTCCCAGCATAGCTGGTGGGCTTAGCACTCTCTCGCTCTCTCTCTCCCTCTCTCTCTACACACACACACTCCGTTAGATTTTAAAGCAAAGACCACAACTTGCATTCAACAAATCATAGTGGACAGGATGAAATCCCATTCTTCTTGAGAAAAACAAGGTGTCCTTGAGTTTCCTTGCAGTTTGTCCAGCCCCACCACGACAGGGAGAGATATCAGGCTGATGCTTGGTTCAAAATAAAGAGGGCATCTCCTGGAACCTCCCTCCCTGGCATCTCTCAGGAAATCCAAGCATTGTGAACCTTCTAGTAGTGGCACCAGACTTCGTTCTCTTTCCTTGCTTTATTTTGACTTTCTCTGTTTGCTTCACCTCTTTTGTACTCACTCTTGCCTATCACTTTGGTTTCCTACCATCTCCTAATATCACAAATGTTTCGTCCACTCATCTGATGGGGTGGAGAAAGGGATCCAGTACCCGGTCTGCACCTGTATCTCTCATCCTCTAACAGCAGAGTAGAAAGAAAGAAGCCTCGGGGCGCCTGGGTGGCTCAGTCGGTTAAGCGGACGACTTCGGCTCAGGTCAATCTCACGGTCTGTGAGTTCAAGCCCCGCGTCGGGCTCTGTGCTGACCGCTCAGAGCCTGGAGCCTGTTTCAGATTCTGTGTCTCCCTCTCTCTCTGACCCTCCCCCGTTCATGCTCTGTCTCTCTCTTTCTCAAAAATAAAT